CATCCTGCACAGGGATGTGTCTCCCACACCAGGATGTCGTCTCCAAGCCCCTATGGACTCAAACAGGAATCGCCCCGAAGTGCTGTCCCCGACCCCACTGGCTCCCCCCTGGACAAGGCAGTCTCTCCAGGACTCTGCAGAGTCAGCAGCCCCTTGTCAGACACCCAAAGCGGTGCTTTCCCTCTCCCCCGTTTCAACTTACACAGCAGCCCCTGCATCCTTACCCCGGAGGTGGCCAGAGAGAGGCATTCGCTATTCGTGTTCCCATTGCCTCCTTCCCACTGGCTTCAGAGTGGAAGGGGCAGCCCCAGAGCTCCCTGTGGGAGCATCTCCTACCACCCCAGCACGCAGCACTGGATGCTTCCCGCCGACCCCAGCAAGGCACTGCCAGCAGCAGAGGCCCACAACGCTCACACCCTCCTACTCACCGAGGAGGAAGAGGTTGGTCTCAGCAACCCGTTCAGCCCCAGCATGGCCACAGGGACTGCCAGTACCACACACAGGAGTTCCGCTGGGGCCAAGGTCTGCCTGACCACACAAAACCACCGGCGACTTCTAGCAAAGGGGCAGGATCAGGGGAGAGCCTACGGGCACGCTCCGCATTTCTTCTCACTAACCAATGAAAAGAAAAAAAAATCCCATATCTGACTCCACAATACCCTCATACTATGAATTTCTGAATCAGTCGTTGCTGCAGGTCTCACTCAGGGGATTTTGAATGTGTGGGAGAAGAGGGGAAGGAAGGGGACTGTTCAATCCGTGCGTGACTCATATTCTTCAGAAGCTGAACAGAGCCTTTTCAAGGAGATTTTTCAGCCACTCAAGTCTTCCAAAGGGACTGTCCTGTGACCTCAAGCCTGAGGTTTTTCCCGGTTGGCCTGCCACCTAAGCACAGAGATGCATCCCAGGCAACTGTGCAGCCTGAGACTTGGGGTCTGTGGGACCTGCAAGTGCAAGGGAGGGTGCAAGGGAGGGTGCAAGGAGAAGGTAGAGATCCAGTACTGAAAAATGAGGTGGGGACCTTCCTCCTGTCATTCTGCAGGGGCTTCTGAAGGCCTAGGAACATGGACACAACCCCCTGGTGGTCTGTGGGAAGCAGCACAGACTGCCTGCTGTTCGGATCCCATTGATCACCCCATCTGGACAGCTTCAGCCTGCCACCACCAGTCACCCACCCCATCTGCTGGGCACCGATCTTCCAGAGAGGTGAACAAAGAGACAAACAATCTTCCTCAGTGGGCTGGGAACAGCCACCTACCCTACCCACTGAGCCTGGTGGGAGAGCCCAGGCCTGAAGCTGCTGGATAAGAGCAGACTGTGCCCTGGAATAGCACAACTCCCCTTCTCCAGTGGCATCAGCTCCATCTCCTCTTGAGGGGTTTTCACAGCTCACTCACTGCTGCCCAGGACACTTCCACTTGTTGCAGCAAAGAGCATGACTAAAGAACGTCACGAACTTCTACCTGTGTCTCCCCATCCCACACAGCTCTGGCTCTCTCTGGAGGTTGCCAGCCATATCCCTGCATCCTTGTGCAGTGTTTGCTGGAGGAAGCCCACCTTGCTTGCTGAGCAGAGATGGTGTCACCCCCTGCTTCCTTGTTCCTGGAAAAGCAACCTCAGGCAACCTCAGAGCTGCTCTCCAGGTGAAGTCCTGCCTCCTGTGCCAAGCAGCATGCCTTCCTGGCCTCCAGGACTGGGGTTTCCCCTAGGAGTGTAGCATATGCAGCTTTTATCCCCCACACATGCCAGAAAGAAATGCATCTCTCCTTTCTCCATTAGTAGCATTCCCTGTTCTGTCTTCCCAACACATCTGCCCCTGGATCATGGGCTTGAACTGCAGACCCCATTTACTTGGCTAATTCCTCCCCATCTTCACACACTCCTAGGGTTCAGGCAGGATTCTCTGGGCATTGCTGGGAATGGGGGAAAAGAGCAGCAATCCAGCTGCAAGGCACTGCCCAGAGCAGCATCAGCTCCCTGCCCTGGAGTGCAGCACTGCCACAGCACCCTTGCCAGATGGCACAGCCTCCCTGTGCCAGCCAGAGTGCTTCAATTAAGGGCTAGCCTTTGGCAAACAGTGCGAGTTAAAGCCAATCTTCCATGCCTGCAGCTCCTTGAACGTGACCTAGTAATGCAGGTGCTATTTTCTTTCCTCCCATGACAGTCGGCTGACTTGCAGAGCTGATGCCCTGCAGGCAGGAGGGAAACACACGTCAGCCTATCTGAGGCAGGAGTGTTTAGTAGCCATGGGAAAGGGTGCTCCAGAAATGCAGGAGGCAGCGCAAGCACAGCCCTGCTCTGAACTGTGCTGGTGTACAGCTGACATGTTCCAGCCACTCAGCTGACTGCTCCCCTAACATACTCTTCCCTTTGCATTTTGATTTTCCTTGGGTCGGCTAACACCTGCAAACAACAGCCCTAAATACTTGGCCTTGCTTTCTGCAGAAATCCTGTGCTCTTCTCCATCCCTAGTCCCAGCAGCTACTGGCAAGAGGCTGCTGAGTCTCTCTCATATTGCATTCACAGTGACTTTGCTCTGAGACCCTTCCTGGAAACCAAGTCCTTGACCAGCAAGCATGGCAAAGAGAAATCCCCTCTTCCTGAAAGCTTTCTAAGCCTTCTTCTCCTGACAGCCTGCCTCTGACCACTGAAGCCATTTGTGTATCTCTTCATAAAATGCCTTTGCTCCCATTGTGGCTATCAAGTTGGTTTTGGCAAACCCCAACTACCCACTGATCTTCTGGTTTTCGCCTCTGAGGGCCTGTCAATCAGCTCCTCTGCTGCTATGAACGATTAACCCAGCTGTATGCCCTTAGAGAAGCCCTGCCCGCGTCAGCCCGGCGTTCGCTGTCTGTCACTCTCTCCAGTTTCCACTCTGCCCACAGTTCCACCACCGTGTTGGTGCTCACAGCTCCATTGGGGCTATGGCTTGCCGAGCCTGCGGGCACGGATCTGATTCCCCTCGGAGCGGGCAGCAGGCCAGTCCTGCTCCAGCGCAGGAGGGCTCAGGACATAAGAGGGAGAGCTGCAGGATGGGGAAGAACCCAATGGCAACATAGAAAATAGGGAACTTCCCACCGGCAGGGAAAAGGGTGTAACCGCCCGCGCTGGGACTGGCTGTCTCCTCTCCCCTCCAAGAGAACAAATGTCTCTCCAACCTGGATCTTCCCAACACCCCCACCCCAGCTGGCCGCATGGCCGGCCAGAGGCAACCCGGGACCGGCTGGAGCGAGAGAGAGCCCAGGACCGTTCCGCTGGGACGGGCAGCCCAAGCACAGGAATGTTAAGCCTCGGGACCGCTCAGCTCCCTTTCCCTGGGAGCCCTTCTCCCGCTGGCGCGGGTAGCCCTGCCCGCCGCTGCTCGGGCGCGGCCCCCCGGCAGCCCCAGGACCCGCACCCGCTTACCTTCATCCCCGCCGCAGGCCGGCCGCCGCGCCCCGGCCGCGGTACCGGGAAAGTCCCGACCCGGCTCCGCCTCCCGGGGCTTCCCGGACCCGGCTCCGCCCGGCGGAGACAGCGGGAGGGCGGGCCCGGGGACCCCCGAAGGGACGGGCAACTCCAGGCTGCTGCATCCCGGCGACATCGCCTATCCGTGGCACTCGGGTCAGGGAACCGAGCCCCGGGCTCTTGGCTGTCCCCCGAGGGGAGGGACAGGACCCTTCACCCCATTCCCAAGGCCAGCTTGCTACTCCAGCGGGGAAGGACCGTCTGCCTCACCCATGGATGATTTTCACTTTTATTATTGTAAATTCACTGTTGTCTTTATATATACTTTTTAAAAAATATATTAGATACAAAAGTCAGAAAGGCTCCTCTTTGAACTACATATACTGGTGGATTTACAGGCCGGTTTGGAAAAAGTGGGCAAATAGGAAAGCCCAACTTGATCAATGCACGCAGCAGCAGCAGTAAATGCCCCTCTCCAGGGACAAGGGGACTATATATATATATATATATATGTATGTGTATATATATATATATTTGTAGATCTATGCATACACACACATGCACGCACACACAGCACTCACACCCCTCGACACCTCAGCCCCCTGCCCAGGACATGCCAAGGATGCTGCAGCTGAGCGGGATGAGCTCCCGCCAGGCAGGCATTTGGGAGTCCCAGAAGAATGGGGCACACGCTTCCTCTGTTCCTACAGAAGTGCTTCACCTTTACATGGCTGCACTCCCTGGGACAGCTTGGGCTGGCAGCAGCACAGAGCGAAGTCCCCTGGCCAGCAGGCACAGTGCCTGCAGGACATCCCCTGTATGATGGTAAATTTGAAGACTCATTTCCCAAACTAGCTGGAAGCAGGGAAATGCTGTGACCAGGGAGGTGAAACCTGCCTCAGCAATTCTCAAAGCTGAAAAATGCAGGAAAAGCCATTGGCTGATGGCATAGAAGGCCCTGAGCAGTGAGAGCCCTGGCACGGGGCAGGGGGGTCAGCACAGTCCAGCTGGGGCTGCTGGTGCCATCCTGCAACAGAGTGAGACACCACCCCACCTGGGAAGGCAGGAGGGAGAGACCCCCTGCTGCCATCCTCACTGGGGCTGCAAACAGACTGGCAGTGCAGTCACTTCCCAAGGGAAAAGGCACTCTGTGGTTTTGGCTCCTCTGACAGTCACAGTAGCCAGATGGAAGGCTTGCTTACCCCTATGAAGGTGGGAAGAACACAGATCTCGTCCCCCTTCCAGCCCACCACGTCCCTTACAGGAGGAAGCTTCAGTATGATTGCCTTCAGCAGCCTGACTCAGACCAGGCTACCCCAGAGGCTCAGGGGCAGATTCTGGCTCTGCTGATACCAGGATGGCATCCCCACACCCCAGCAGTGACCCCAAACCCTGAGGGCAGGGAGGGGACAGCAGCTGCCAGAGGAGCACTGGACACAGCTCCTGCTGTGAGGGTGGAGGGCACCGCAGGCCCACACGCACACACACACAAAAACACATAAACACACACACACACACACACACACACACACACACACAAACACACAGCAGCGGGGTTCTCAGAAATATTCAAGGTGGGGAGTCACTGGCAGAGCCCAATTTGGAGTCTCCACTCTGGGCTGCCTCCTGTGGGGGTCAGGCCATAGCCAGGCCCTCCACGTGGCTGTGGATGTGGGCCGTACTGGACAGGCTGCTCTCGCCTTTGTAACTTTTGGGGGCCCGGCTGGCTTTCAGCAGGACCAGGAAGGTGTCTGTGGAGATGGCCCCAAACTCAAAGGTGAACGTGCCATAGAAAACCAGGACATCAATGATGAATATCCACTCACACAAGGCAGCCACGTGCTGTAGCACAAAGCTCTCCTGGATGAAGAACACGCCACCTGAGGGTATCCCAGTCAAGGATAGTACAGTGAACCCCATCCACCCCATGGAGAGCCATGTCCCACTGTTACTGCACGCTTGGGTGGACGTGAGTACCCATCCTCTGCAGGATGGCTACACCACCACCACTCCTAACACTGAGAAACCCCCATATGCTTCTCCCAGCACCAGAAGGGCCCTGGCACAGGTAAAGTGGTGGCACACATGCCCAAACCAGCCTTGATAAATCACTGATGCCAGGCTGGGATTATCTGAAGAGGCCAGGGCAGGATGAGCTCAGGCTGCGGGTCTCAGTGCAAGCCAGGTGCCCAGATGCTCAACTTCCCCACACTCCTTGTCTCTTCCTCAAGCCAGGCTGGTGTTCTCCATCCTCTCATAGAATGCAGTCAAAGATGATTAAAACTCAACCTTTGAAACATGGTTTGGACTGTTGCATCCCAGTCCTGCAGCACCTCCTGTCCTTCTGTGCTGGAGGCTGGCCCACCCCAGAGACGGGGCCTGCTCCCACTCCTCTAGATCCTACCACCAGCAGAATTTTCTTATCCTTCTCTCATCCCCACCAAAAATCTCCAGGGAAACCTACTGCAAGAGCTACTGCGGGTGAGGGGAGGAGGTACATTTCCCAGCCCTCCAGGCAAAGCCTCCAGCAGTACCATCTCTTCTGCAAGTGAGACCAAGATCTGGGAGAGCTGCAGAAGCAGGGACCTGACCTGTACAGTGCAGAGCCCTCTGCTCACTCCTCCTATCCCAGAAAAGATCCCAGCCCTCTCCCCACACTGTCCACACCACAGCTCGCTGCTTGCCCACTGCCAGTCCCAGAGCTTAGAGAGCAGAATGGCCACAGCAGATGGGCACCACTCCTGTCTTCCTTGTCCTTACATGCCCTTCCTGTCCCTCCCAGCTGGCATGGCCCTGCAGCAGTCCTGCCTCTCCCAGCTCCCAGCCTGCCTGCCTGCTGTGATGACAGAGCAGGACCCTCTGATATGTGACAGGCCTGCCAGCACTGCCAGGCTCCTCTTGTGCTGCTCATCTCAGCCAGACCCCAGCCAGCCTCTTTGGGATCCATAGACACTGCATGCTTTTTCCCCTTCCTGCCCAATAACCACTACCTTGTTTCCCAATTTATCCCCAACCTCAGTCCCAAATAAGCTCCTCACTCCCCGGCCACACACTTGGGACCATTCTTTGAGCTCCAGGCCCACCTGATGCCATGACCTCCCTCCCTGGTAAAGTGTTTGCAGACCCCGTTACTTGCTCACCAAACCCTTCCTTGTCCCATGGGCAGGTTGGCTGGCAAGTGCCCAGAAGTTCTAGCTGGCAGAGGTACTGCCATGCGCCCACCTGGCACCTTCACACAGTGCTTTTGTACGCAGCTTTGGTCAGAGAGGTAACCCAGATGGACTTTGCATTGCCAAGGGCTCAAAATACCTTTGTCCCATTAAAAAAGCCCAACAATTAACCGGACCTGAGTGGTGTGTGACTGGAGCCTGCAGCGGTGGCTGGGCTGCAGCAGCCAGGGCACGGCTGGTTTGGGGCATGCCAGCACCCCAAGAGACACCCACCAGCATCCCTTCCCCCCCTCAGCCCCTGCCCAGCCCTGGTACTGCTGCTCCTCTAGCCTGCACCTGCAGGGAGCTGCACACCCTCAGTGCCCTGCCCAGCTCCTCTCCTGGCACTGTGCCTCATTGCCAGACCAAAGGATAGAGAATTTGGGGCATATACCCCACTGTGAGGACCACCTTTCACCAGCCAATTCCCAATGTTCTTCCCACACCCTTCAGGATACTGAAGACGAGGGTGAAGAAGGCCACGGTGGTGAGGATGCTACGCAAGTGGCCGGTCCAGTACTGGCCTCGGGTTTCAGCCATGCGGTAGGTGAGGATGGACTGCAGGAGCAGGAACAGCATGCTGGTGGGAAAGGCCACCCCTGCCCCAATGTAGTGTAGCACCTTGGCGTGATCCACCTGTGGGGAAGAAAACTCAGTGCCAACTCCCTGGGACATCACAGCGTGACTCTGCTCCAGGAGTTGTATTCCTGCCCAGGAAGGGGTGCAGACAGTGCTGGGAGCAGGTCCAGGCAGCTCACCCTGTGCCTGACTCCTGGCTGAAGAGCAGACTTGGATCCACCATCTACTGCTGGGATCTCAAAGAGCTCTGTTTCTTTTATCCATGGGCCAGCAGCCCTGCTGTGCCCAGGGGCAGGGGCTGCCCTCTGCCCTGAGCAACATCAGGGACTGCCTGCACCCCTCCCGAGGGTCACAGCCCAGCGCCGCTCACCACGGCTGGGCCACAAGGGGGATCGGGGCCTGCAGAGCTCCTCCCGGGGCTGGTGTGGGCAGCAGCCTCCTGCCAAGGGGAGGGACTGGCTGCCGGGAGGCCGGGGCCTGGCAGAGCAGGCAGGGGCTGAGCACCGCCATGTGCTGCCAAGCTGGGCCCGCTCCGCTCCCTGTGAGCACAGGCTCTGCTCCGACAGCTTCCTGGCATCACCCCCTGGGCAGGATCAGGAGCAGCCTGAACAGCATGTCCCTGCCCCTGCACACATCCATGGAGAGGACAGACAGTGCAGAAGGGGCTCAGGTAAGGGTTTAATGAAACCCAGCAGCTTAATCTGCACTTGAACTCTGAATACACAAAGAGGACACCCAGTACCCTGGGAAGCAAGGCACTGACTCAGGGGAAGGGAAGGATTGCATGCATGGGACACTGAAGCAAACCAATGACCCCAGACCCTACCCTGCTGAGCACAGCCATTGCCCCGCCCCAGCCAAGGCCCTCTCCTGCCCCGCTAGCCCAGGGGCTCCGAGAGGAGATTCCTTACCTGAAAGTTGCCCACCATGGTGAGGCCAGCAGCGCAGACCCAGCCAGTGGCCAGCCCCAGGGTGTTGAGGAGGGACGGCCCCAGGCGCTCCAGGAGGTGGGCATAGCGCAGCAGGCCCACCAGGATGACTGCAGGAGGAAAGCCCTGTCACACACCACTGTCTGCAGCCCCCTCATCCACTGCTGCCCCATGCCGGGGGGTGCAGGGCAGCCTCTCCCAGCCCTGCTTCCCCAGCAGCAGGCACTTACCCATGAAGGAGCCCAGGCTGCAGATGAGGCTGAAGAAGCAGCTCTCGGGAGGCAGGGTGCCACACTTGCTGTGGGGATAAACAAGACCCACAGAGCACTCAGACAGGGGGCACTGGGGTGTGTGCTTGGCTCCCTTCTGGGTTGCCCTGGAGGGGTCTCAGAGCAGCTCTGCCCCCACGCTGAGGCTGCTCACCTGACGAGGGGGATGTGATCCAGCGTGCAGCAGGAGCTAGGGCCGTCCATGTCACAGGACTGGTTGTAACTCCTGCCAGCAGCAAAGGAACAGGGTTAGGAGAGCCCAGACGCTGCCCAGGACGCTCCTGTCTCCTGCCCTGCAAGGGCAGCCGAGTTGCTCCGCAGTGAGTTCAGCCTAAACCCAGGGATGTGCCAACAACCTCCAGGGAGTGACCCACTGCCCAACAGGCAGAATCGTGCCTGTGTTTCCACAGCCTGTTCCCTACCTGCTGGCTCTGCTGCTCACCCAGAGCCCCCTTCTGTGAGGGAGAGGCCATGGCAGGGCAGAGGCTGTGCGGGCCGGGGTGTGGGCTCAGGGGGTTCTGGCAGCCCCACACCCAGACAGGAGCAGGAGCACCCACCTGCCAGCCCCCTCACATATTCCCGGCATGGAAGCACCAGTGAAGCCGGGCACGCAGCCACTGACAGCTCCAGGTTTGCGGGGGATGGGTTGGAATGCTGAGCTGTGTGGGGAATGGCCCCCACAGCCACAGGCACCCCCGGGGCAGTGCCACCGCACCTGGGAGGGTGGCAGGGAGGGAGCTGGGAGGCACTGCCTGAGGGACAGCATGACCAGAGCCAGCCCCAGGCTGCCCTGAAGCCAGGCACACCAGCGGTGCACCCGGGCTGGGCAGGGCTCTGCTGCCTGCACCCACCACAGTGCGCTGGGAGCACCTCCTGCACCCACAGAGCCCGTGAGTCCAGCACCCCGAGCTCTTATCAGCCCTTCGTGTACCACAGCTGCTGCCTGCAACCCTAACCAAATTCCCACCAAGGGGTTCATGTGCCCTCAGCCTCACAGCTCTCCCAGGAGCTGGCACACACTGGAGTGGGGTTTTGTGTGTCTCTTTGCTGCAGCATCACCCAGGCATTCAGCACCTCCACCTGGCATGGCCTAGTGGGAACCCTGCTCACACCACAGGCAGTGAGTGCAAAGTTCTCAGCCCCAAAGGGCCTCTTCAGGCACCCCGAGTCCCACGTGGCAGGGGGACTGAGGGGGGACAGCACTGTGGGGGGAGCTGTGGGGGGACAGTGCTGCCCTGTCCCTCGCCCACGCTGGCCATCTACCACCTCCAGCAATGCAGCAAGCACATGGTTAAAAAAGCCTTTTTGGAAAGGGCTGGGCTGAGCTCTGATGTTTTTTCAGTCTCCTCAGTTTACTGGTGGCTTTGTTTTCCAACCACTAAACCCAGGCGAGGCGTGGAGCCCCACGGCCTCCTCAAAGGCTGCTCTTGGGGCTGTGTTTGGTTTGGGAGGTTTTTTTTATTATTATTTTGTTTAAAGCAAGCAGCCCCAGGCCGGGAAGCATTATTCGTCATTAAGGGCTGGCTGTGCTGCAGAGACAACCCGACACACACATTCTTCCCAGGGCAGAATCAGCCATCAGGCAGGAAATGGCAGCAGGTTTTTTTTTTTCACTTCTTCAAACACTCCAGCAACAATTAAACTAACATGGATCTTTCTGGGCAGATTTTTAAGGTGACGCTACAAGCCAAAAACCCTGCAGAAGGAGTTGCCAAGAGACCAAACAGTGTTTCTTTTCCCAGCCCTTGTCTCTTCCACGCCTCATCCCCCATCTGGGGGTGTTGCAGGCAGTTCTGTCCATGGGGTGTCTGGGTGCTGCAGGACCATCCCATCCCCCTGGCACTGCCAGATTTAGCCTCAAGCAAGCAAGTCACAACCTTTTCCATGGAGACACACAGCCCTCTGTAATTCCCTGACCACTTATTTTCATACTTTCTCCATGCTGTGTTTTTTGAAAGGCCTCCTTCTCCCCTGCCTGGTTTGCAGCGAGGCTGGACTGTTCAGCAGAGTAGCTGTTACCACACAGAGCCTGAGCAGGGGAGGGAGGGCAGCCCAGCCCTGACTGCAGCTCTACCCCAAGCTGTTCTGCTCCCAAAAGCCACTGGGCTGGGCAGGAGGCATGTGCCCTGTGGCATTTGCACCCCATCACCACCATGTCTGCTGGGGAAGAAGGCAGCTCTGAGCCCCTTTAATGCTCCCACCATCCCCAACCCCCCTTCAGCACAGTCATGGTGCAGGGAGTGCCTCAGATACCCAGTGGTCTAGCACAGCTTGGCATACTTTAAGTGGGACAGGTATGGAGGGACTTGGTATTATGAGGTCTTTAATCAAGCCAGGATGTGCCAAAAAGCCCCTGCTTCCCTGCAGGCCTTACCAGTTGTGGACAGGGCAGATGTGGTTGTTGGACAGTGCCATGGCATATCTGGAGGAGAGACAACAACAGGGTTACCACAGCCACCCACCTCCCTGCACCCCCTTTCCCTGCCAGCACACAGAGCAGCCCCAGGGACAAGCTGCCAGAGCAGAGGACACAGGCCCTCAGTGCCTGCCAGGGCCAGCACTCATCCTGCGGCACCTCCCAGCTTTACAAAGCAGGAAAAAGAAAAACAAGTGCATAAGCACATGCTCCACAGAACTCCCACTGCTGGGACCAGGTTCCCCTGCCTTGTACCCCCATCCCTGCTGAGAGCCACCTCCTGCTCCAGTTCAGTGCAGCTGCTTCTGTGGGGCCTCTTCTCCATTGTTCTGCTGTGCTCCACGGGCTCTGGGGGACTGCTCTGTCACACAGCCTCCCTGGCATGCCCCTGCCATCGGGGCTCTCCACCGGCCTACAGCTGTGCCAGGTGATACCCAATGGTGCTGGCTCTGCCGTGCTTCCCCCAGCCCCTGGCTGGCCAGCAATGAGCTAAAGGAAGTCTGGAAAAGTAGCCAGTGCACTGGGAGGGCATCGTGGGGAGAGCAGCTCCATCAAGCATGACACTGTGTAGTCACCCTTGTGCCTTAGTCAGTGTAACAGGGGGTTCATGACATGCATCCTGCTCCACTCCAAGGGCTCTCAGCCCCATGGCCCCCACCCCAGCCATCCAGGAGTCCTCCTGCCCAGCAGCCACAGCAGTGGGCAGCACCCTGTTGTTCAAATCACTGGCGGTTGTGAACAGCTCAAGGTTAAAAATAGGACCCAACACCAGTATGAAAACTCCTCTCCTGCCCGAGCTGGCCGTGTAACAGCTGGGCTGCAAAAGGATGACCCCAGAACAGAGGCAAAGAGCAGGACAGGTGGGGGAAACCAAGGAACAGCATTCCCAGCCACCACGGAGCAGACCCCTCACCGAGCCATCTCCCAGCACAGGTCTCCAAAAGAGCCACTCCCAGGGTAGCTCAGGCTGTGAGGATCATGAGCAGCAACTCCCACCTGTGCTGCTTTGGTCTGGAGGGCCATCTGCCCCCCAGGGTCACTCACGGGAGACAGCCCATGCTTTGCAAGGTGTCCAAGGGAAAAACTTGCAGCGTAAGTTCCTAGCACCAGGAACAATCGGCTTTGTTGTGAAGACCTGCATGCATGTGGGGTGCATTTGCTCCATCCCATACCCCAGGAAGTCCCACTACCTGTATTGAACCTCTTGATGCCTTTGAGAAAAGTCCTTCATCCACTGCTTACCTGTGTTAAGGCCTGAGAAATGGACTGCTGGAGTGGACTAGTACTGTTCACCCAAGTGACACAGCCTCTAGTCCTAGCACAAGGCCCGTCCATCCATCCATCCATCCATCCATCCATCCATCCATCCATCCAGCACATGGGATGGGTGCCCACACACGGACCGCAGCCCTGGCGCTGCAGTACCTGGGCTGGTGGCGTGGCTCCTAGTGCCGTCCCCGGGCCACTTGAGCGCTCAGGCCGGGACGGGGGCGCGCGATTCCGCAGGGCGTCAGGGATTTAAGGACAGGGAGGCACATGCCAGCGCTGCTGCAGGGACGCGGGGACCACGCAGGGCGGCTGTGGGAGCCCCTGAGTGTCCAGAAGTCTCCCCGCAATCTCCAGCCCGCTGCATCCCACCTCGCAGCATCCCACCCTAAAGCATCCTCCAGCCCCCGGCCCTCAGCCATCCCGCAGCATCCGGCCCGGGCCCCGGCCCCAACGCCCGTGTGTAGGGGGCTGGCGGCGACCCCGCGGCACTCACACGATCCACATGCCGGTGATGGTGAAGGCAGGCAGCGTGACGGGCAGGATCCCCCAGGCCGGCATCCTGGGGCCTGGCATGCCCCGCCGGGCTATGGGCGAGCGGGGCCGCCGGGCCGCCGCCGGGCCGCGCTCCCCATGGGCGACGGGGCCGGGGCCGGGGCCGGGCTGGCGGGCGGAGCGGGTCCGGCCGTGCGGAGCGGCGCCGGGACAGCCCAGGCCGGCCCCGCCCCGGGGCAGCGCGGGTCCCGCTCGGCGGCAGGGCCGAGCCCGCCCCGTCCGGCGGCAGCGGGGAGCGGGACGGGCCGGCGCGGCCCCGGCGCCACGTGGCGCCCGCGCTGCCGGCCCGGGGAGCAGGTCGGTGCTGGGGACGGCAGCCGGGAGCAGCACGGCACGGAGCCGGGCTCCGCGGGGCGGGCGGCCCCACAGCGCGCTCGGCTGAGCCGCAGCGAGGGACAGGCTCCCCTAGAGCGCAGGGGAGGGCAGGCACAGCTCAGCGGCGAACGCTCCTCCCGGGAGCTGGGGACCCGAACAGCTTTGGCCAAGGCTGACTCGGGCATCGACAGCCGGCTGCAGGGCTGGGGGCCTATCCCCCCTCAGCTCCAGGTGATGCTGTCCCTCCCCGAACGCTTTAGTTCACTCTTCTTCCACGGGGCTCAGCATTCCGTCCTGAGGACAAGGCTCTGTTTGTACGCCAGGAGTGACTGTCCTTGTGCCCTCACTAAATGGCTGCAGCCGCACTGCCAGCCAGTGCCTGCACACACTCCCGACCCGCTTACCCTGACCTCTCCAGACACTTTCTACAACTAGGGATTAAGTTTAGCAGCCAACCCTGCTGCCCAGAGAAATTTCCATTTTTCTCACACAGAAAACGTGAGGAAAGGAAGCACAACTTCCCCTGGCAGAGGAGCAGGGCTGTGGTAAGGCCACGGGCGTTCCATTTCCCTACTGGGAACTCAGCAAGAACTTGCCCTCTTGGCCCCCGGCTGCTTGTGGGGATGTGCTTTCAAGTCCCAACACATCCTCCATCTCCAAGCGGTGTGTGCACACCCCTTGAGAACGGAGCATTTGGTGCTCATACTTCTGCAGAGAGGAGCTGACCGAGGACAGCTCTGACCCTGGCCCGTGTGGGAGAGGAGCGCTGGCTGCCCACCACCTCTCCCGGGCCAGGGTGCTGGTTACACAACCGCGGGAGCACTACTGCACACTGGGACTTGTAGTCTTGGGGGATCTTATCGTCCCCTGCCTTGACTCGCGCCCCAAGCAGCCTCCTCACGGGCCCAGGGTCTCTCCTCGCTGTTCAGCCCATCAGTTCGGGACAAGAGCTGCACTCCAGAGCTTTGCTCCGGAGCCGGCTGTGCTCCCAAAGCTGCCCCGTGCATTCCTGTCCGCCCGCCGGGAGCAGGCCTGGCCCTCCCTCTCCCGGCAGCCTCCACACCTCACGGACAGTGGGAACCGTGCCCGCTGTGCGGGGCTGCCGCCTCCGGCAGCCTTGGCAGCGCTCGGATCGCTCCGGGGCCACAGGCGAGAACTATAAGCCCCGCCGGGCTGCCTTCTGCACAGCTGGGCCGAAAATGCCAGGCACAGCGGCTTCAGAACACATCACCCTCTGTAACAGGCATAAATTTTTCCAGAGGAGTTCAACAGCTGGCATTTATAGGACTGAGAGTAACTTCTAAAAAAGCCAGTTCACTGTTGATACGTCCTGGAAATCTTTCTTACAGACTTTTTGAGTATGCTCAGACCCAGTTTTTAAATTGAAATTAAAAGCAGCAGTGCTTCTGTTTCACAAGTTTCAGTGCCAAATGTATGTTTTATAGTCAGGGCTTATCATTCCATAGGACTTCTCACACAAGTAAACGTCATACCAATGAGGAAAACACCAGCTCCACAGTAAAGTGTTCTACAAACACATGCTAAATCCCAGTACATATTTCTATTCTGTTTTAGCAGTAGAAGTCATTGATGTAAATGGGAACAGAAGAGGCAGGTAAAACCAACACACAGTGATGTCTGTTCAGCCTCCTCTGGAAAATACTTAGTCAGACCCTGAGTAAAAATGAGAAAGAAGTCCAAGACTAGAAAAAGTATATGCTAGGACAAATCCAAAGGGTACTGTTGTAAACACCACTCCTCACCAGCAGCCATTAGTAGTATGAGTGACTTTTATGCAATTTAACTTACAAATAGAGTTCAAGAGATGTACTGATTAACCTATCAGGCAGCACATGCTCCCTGACAGTTGATTCTGATTTCCTTTCAGTTCAGTACTTTCCCTGATTTTTTTTTTCTCTGTAACATTAAACTTCACTCTTGCAAAATCCAAACAACATCCAAAAAGTTCTTTTTCTGGTTTTCCAGTCCATTCTTATTTACAGCCTAGTGAAAACTGTTTAAAGTGCAATTCTGTCTTTCCAGTCAACATTCCTTCCATTCTAGTCCCACTTCCTGCAGTTCTCTCAGGTGGCATTTGCTTTGCACCATAATTGTCTGAGTTGAGACGTAATGCTCTCAGTAGAAGCTGGGTTTGCAAACTCAGCATGTGGTAAAACACAGCATGTGCCCAAAACAACTATTGGAAGGCAACTGGCAAAATGGAGCTTTGCTATCAGCTGACACCACCCCAAAAAGTCAGAGGACCACCTGGGCCTGGGGATCAAAGGCGGCAGTCCTGACATCAAGGCATTTGACAAAGAGTTAATAATCTAAAGCTTTCAACAAGCAGAAAAACAGAGCTGCAAATAGAAATGAAGGCTCAGAAAGACACGGCAGAGAGGGGGGCTGGATACAGAAGTGCTCCATGAGCAGCACAAGGACTCAAATGCATTAATGAAAACATCTGAGGGCTGGAAAGACAATCTAGAGGCAGTGGAGGGTGAGGAAGAGAGCTGCAGCAGCAAAAATATTCCAGGAATGGTACAAATGGGGTTAGGGAACCAGGATTTATTACCAGGACTTTTCTAGTATGCACATTACTCTTCCATTATGCAATATTCAGACCTTTTTTCATGCAATTTAAACAAACTCCTAAGTTTTTACCCACTTACCAAGTCTGTAAGAGTCTCTTGGAATAGAGAAGGCACTGGTGCTTCACACAGCTCTGAGGACACTGTGGCACTGCGTGGATCTTGCCATGAAACAAAGTAGAAAATACCAGGAAGGAAGTGTAGTTGTTCAAATCCATGGCAAGCACTAGCACTGGAAGAGGCCAGCATCTCTCACACCCTCTCCAACTCTGAGTCTTGTCCATGGAAACAAGGATTTCTTTTTCATCAGAGAATCACCAGTGTCAGCTGAGCTGTCACCAAGGTCTATGTTCTGGCACCATGACCAGATGAGTAGAGCACCTGCTCCTCAGTCCTCATCTCTGCTCCCAGTCCTGGTGGTGCATGAGCATACACCAATGTAACACCAGAAATGTTACAGCCCATGTGAAACTATTGCCATCTGAAAAACCCAATCTCACTATTACAGCTCTGCTTTGTCCATGATGGGAACCATTCCTGATTAGACCCTTGATGGCTAACCTCCATTGCAGCCCCCCACCCCAAGCTGACAAGTCCCCCTGTGCTCCGTGCAGACAGAGCACTGGTGTATGAAGCCAGGGCCCAACACCTTCACGAGCAAACTCCCCTTTTCCCAAGGCTCCGAGCCAAAGTTGGATGACAGAAAAGGAGTGCAACACCAGAACAGTAATTTACAGGATGTATTTATTACACTGTAAAAAGTCCATTGGATTTTAGCCATTTACTCGGTATGTACACTGGTTGTATTCCCACACCAACTGCAGGTTCCTCTCCTTACAGGATACACTGAGTTGGAGTCCCATCCATGCCCCTCCCAGTCACCAGGGGGATTTCCAAGATTGAAATTACTGAGAATTTAGCCAACTAGTTGAGGGAGGAGGAGGAGGATGAGCAATGCAGCACTTGCCAGGCAGCCAGCTCTGCTCTGGACATGAGCGGGGAAAGAGCGGGATATGTCCTTGCGGCAAGATGGAAGCACAAGAATCACTGCCAGGGCCTCAGCTGCAGGGGCCTTCTGGGGGTAGAAGGACATGGGATCCCAACAAGAAGATGCAGAAGGGTGTGTTCTCTTCAGAGCTTTCAAGAGAAACCACTGCAGACCTGCTGAGCATCTGTTAGCAGGTGCCACAGATCTCCACATCTGTAGGTGAAGGGATGTTCTTCTTTCTCCTAAGGAAGGGGCTGGTCACCCAGAGACCAATGTGTAGCGAGTGGCACAAAACACATGATTGCCCCACAAGTGCTGTGTGAGACACAGCCATTGTGCTCTGCTCTCAGCATTTCCTTCTCATCTACACAGCTAGGCAGAGCCTTCTGGATTTGTCTTCAACCAGAAAGCCTGATTACATTTACAGGAGCAGGGATGAAAGCCCCTATCAGACTCGCCTGCTACTTAATCTCTATTTGGCTTGGGGATTGCTGTCATCCGTGTTGCAGGAAGGAAAGCATGTACCAGCAGGCAAGAAGTCCTACGCAGCAATCTGAGAGCTGCACTGTAAGCAATCCACATTTCTAATAAAATACTCTACCTGCTGAACCCAGGTGTGCTTAGATCCCAAACAAAGCAGTACAACCAGAAGAGTCAGCAGGAAAGCTAGGGAATGGCTGGGGAATTGCCCAGGGACTGGACTGAATAATCTTGAGAGGCAGTCCTGTACTGCAGGCCCTCTCTGGTGTGACATCAACAAGTTTTCCCTCTTTACCAGATGAACTGGTGGCAGCTTGGTCTCCCAGGCTGCTGGGCACAGGCATTGCCTGGCCCCTGAGATTGCACAGGCAGGAAGGAGACTGGTCAGTGGAATTGGGCACTTCTCCATGGAGACAGGGATTTTTGGGCAGATTTTTAGGTGATGCCACAAGAAGGGAGCAGGATGGGACATGCTCCAGAGGACTGTGGAAACAGCCCTTCTGCTCAGGTTAGCATCATCTTTTAAAACAGACATGCCCACTACCAGAGAACATTTGGCCAGCATCCTCCACCCACAGAGCCTCCTCAGCAGACAGTTCTCCAACATCCTCCAACTAATTGACTTCAGAGCTTGTCATAGGGTCAGTGGGCCGTGGAGTAGCTAAGAGGGGAACAGGAGAGGTGGCTTCAATTAGGGCTGGGTTGAGAATGATTGGAAGAGTCA